CGATGTGTTAATTCCATAATTATGCTATGTTCATTATCTATTCCATGTTCATTAAATATGTTATGTCCTTATATATATTACATTTTCTATGCCATGTTTACTATATATGTTTTGTTAATAAATACCCTTATGTTTTTATGTATGTAATGTAGAGTAGATTATCTGTAATGTTCAGTATCTATGTCATGGCAATATTTATGCTATGTTAACTATCTTTGCTATAATGTAAAGACTAAAGCTTTCGTACCAATATTTATGACTGAGAGTTCCTGCTAAGTACTGACATATTTAGGCACATTTTCTAAGATAACATTTTATTTACATAATTATTTTTAATTTAAACAATATTTTCAAACATTTCATTTACATGATGGATTGACAAATAATAAATTGTACGGATTGAGTAGGAAGCTTGAGAAGCATTTTTAGAAACCCTCTCCATTTTTATGGAATAAGGCATTTAATCGCTTTTCAAACAGATAAAAAAAACCAGACAACACTTTTAGCATTGGAGGAAAATTTTCCTCCCACTGCGTTTATAGTGTACTTCAGTTTACATTTTCACACTGTGTTAGATATTTTAAAACGCCCGATATAATATAATATAAAATAATAGAATAGAATAGAATAGCATAGAATAGAATCATAATGATAGAAACTGCATATTTCAATGTTAGCGTTTAGTTGTAAAGTAAATACAATATATAATTATAACATTAATAAAATAATATAACTATTTTATTTAGATACTCGTAGTCATTTAAAACCAGAATAGTCTCTATATCAAACACTCCCTCACCCGGTCATTCGAATCTAGGTCTCTATGTCTACAAATAGTGGTGTGTGCTACTAAGCGTATATTTGCTTATTGGCCAGCCATAAAACATCTATGTTTTCCATTTTATTTCAAAATGTTATTTCATCGTTTATAACCATTCTTTTTTTCAAAGTTTTATTAAGTATTCAGCCCGTTATGTAAATTATTAACTCAAAAACATGAACTAATATTATACTCAATGACAGTCTCTACTTCCATGATAGTTTTTGAGTAACCGTGATTTTTGTCGCGGTGTGTAAAACAAACAATACTTTATTTGAGGCATAGCTTACATTTTTTATTCATATTGGCTGTAAGTATCATTCTTTTTTCGTTTTGATTATCCCACAATATTTAAGTTGTTAATAATTTAAATGTATGTCTGTCATGTATTACTAAATATCTAGTAACGAGTTTCCGCTTAAATGTATGAGCCCAACGTTTGTACATGTAATTCGAATATTGCCATTGTTTCAATAAAAAAATATTTTAGTATATATTTTAACACAATGAGATTGACTGGATTTAAACTATATTCACTGGACATGTGTGGACAATAAATCATGAGTGGTTTAAGTCGCTACTAAAGTAAAAAATCCTTGATATTTTTGTTTCTTTTTTTTTGTTTTGCTGTCTGTTTTAGCAAGTTACATGAAATACCACGCACATATTGAAAAGACAACTACAATGATACCGTTAAAAATGTATTTTCAGTAAAACGGTTTCAATTTCAATTTCTAAAAGTACTGTTCATGATCAATGTTTATTTTGATCTCGATTTGAATTGATATTTTATATGATCCATATTTATGTTGTCCTCGATTCGAAGTAATACTGCACATATTCAATGTTAATAGTGTACACCATTCGATGTTACATTGATCAAAGTTTATGTCAAACTCAATTCGAGTTTATATGATTCATAATCCATGATTGTATTGCCATTTTTTCGAATTTATATTGATCAACTGTTTATGTTGTACACAATTCAAGTTTATATTAAACATAATCCATGATTGTATCTTACATAATTACACAATTCAAATTTATATTGTGGTACCCGATCCTTGTTTTTGTTATACATGACGACTCAATAAAATTTTAGAATCACTATTGATAAAGGTATCGTTTTGTAACGATTCTCCTGACACGCATAACTATAAAACGTATTGTGTTTGTACTTTTGACGGTCTTCCAGTCACGCATATATATGTATGGGGACAAAAATAAAATTATCATAATCGAGATGATTCGGAGCTTAAATATGTTTATGTTTGGTGATATAACACGTACGTGTGTATAGGCAAATACACAGGGCTACTTATATATCCAATAGTGATACATATCTTTGAAACATCATGATGGTGATGTACTGATATTAATAGATTTTCAGTCAACAGTCTGACATTTTGGTTAAAGTTTAAGACAGTTTTAACTTGTCTAGAAAAAACTACAATAATGCGATGGCTTTGTTTCATTTCTTTTCCAATTTGAAAGTAAAAACGAAAACAATAGTTGCAGAACTATTTCCAGTTTAGTTATGTCAAAAAAACCTCAGTGTTGTTTCTTGTAGAGGCATTCTCTTAAGCAGTAATAACAACTTATTGCATATCCATAAACTATATAAATACGATAATGAATGATAATGATTATTTAAAAAGTAGAATGTCCGTGGAAAGCTACGATATGGTCTTGATAGTTATATTGTAAACCTTTCTTTAGAGAAGATGTCCAAACTTCTCAGTAGTAATAACATTATAAGCCGTATCTGATGTAGGCATAGTACAGCGATATGGAAGACATATTTCATTGTTTATATAATGGGACTTTATACGGACTAAATAAATTGTCGTTTTTACAATAATGCAGCTCTTATTAATATACATGTACCATATTTTAAGTATAACTTTTGGTATGCTTTAATTAATCTTTTAATTAATCTACCTCAAGGATAATATACAATATCACTTTGTTTCATTCTATGGTACATCATATTGGGTATTTTATTATTTCAATATATATAGAGGATATATGTATATCATAAGTGTCTTTTCATATTGAATTATCGAAATGAGCTCAATTAAAGTAGAAAATACAAGGCCATCGCCTTTATTCAACGAGTTTAATTAGATCAATATGGTAAGAAAAATTAAAGCAGCACGCCTCTAGCTTCATGCTTATTTTCATGAACAACTTGATGTTCAAATTGATTGTCAATATTGCTGTTGTTTCATTGTTGTTGTTTTTTTTAATTTATATGATATCTAAAGTATTTTGTAATTAGTTGTACATATGACATTGCTTGTCTGTTTCAGAATCTCAAAAGTCATCAGATGATAACTGATTAGCACGAAGAAAAGCAAGCAAATGAATATATCCAGTGCATTTGTAATTCTCATTGTATACAGGAAATAATGTTTTGTTCAAAAGTTGCATATTGTATCTTTATATCTTTTTCATTTTATACTCGTATTGTCTTCACTATTCTTAAATACTGAAGATGTTCCATCATTTATTATTTAACTACAACTTGAGAGAGTAACTGAATTCTACTGTCGACTCGTAGTATATCATTCATTGAAACGTGCTCTTTGAGGGAACATGAATATCCAATATTTCAAATTGCTCCTTTTATTTACGAAAAAGATCTTGATTTTGAGTGATATTTGTTATAAAAAGCACGGTGTTGAGTTCAGATTGGCAGTAATACTAGGCCTTCGAGATAAATTAAAAATATCTTAGCGACATACCGTGCTACATGTATAACACAGATCACTCGAAATCAAGAAATATTTAGATACTAACACATCGAAAAATATAGAAGGATTATATTTCCTGTGGTTAAATTTGTTTTCGTCTCAGAATTTCCGATTTAAACGTTCTTCGAAGGCTGATCCAGTCGGTTGAAAAAAGTTGTTAACCAGTTAACAAAAACATTTTGAGAATAACACATTTTGTAAACGTTGATAATTATAATAAAATTAATTATATTTTGTGTGCTTCTTTTATTTCACTTTAAGTGTTAACTGTTTTACGACATTGAAATAGCGTTCATTTCCTTGACGAGTTTTGAAAGCACTACATTGTGACGTCACGTAAACAGCACTTAAAACGTCTGCGTTAATGAGTGAACTAAAGATATTGGTTGTCGGATTTTTGTCTAATATAGACCTTTTTAATCATTCTAGATAGTTATCAGAACACAATTCCACAAAAAGTAGTTTTATTTATCAGATTTTCAAACAAAATGGCACCGTCAATGTGTCGGTTTTCAAATATGGAGGAGGAAACAAGAACAAGAGTTTATATGTTGTGAAATGAATTACGCCTCTAGCCTCCTCTGTTGATAACATCGAAGTGGTGTCCGATAGTGTTAGAATATCATTTCAATACTGATAATCAGTCACCTTCGTATAACCTCAACATTTTACGGATGCTCCTAATTTTTAGGCGTACTATTTATCACATTTAGACTATTTACCTAATGCTTTGTTCTAGATTGCCAAAACGCAGGCATTGCATTTTTTTGTTCTCAGTCAGGAGATATTGACATTTGATTTTATAATATCATTAAAATCCCAAAATTTAGACAAACCTAACTTATTCAGTTCTAATACCCTGTATATTCTGTTCATTCCATTTATTAATGCATAACTTTTTACAGACATTCTGTATACAATTGCTGTTAAAATGAAAATGGTATTTACTGTGAAATTTATATACTGTTATTTACAAATTCATACTTGTAATTTAGTTTTACCATAGGAAGATACAAATGTTTTCAAAATACTTATGCGTAGCGTTTGTCCGATATACATCTTTATAGACTAGTCAATATACCGTCAGCTTGGATAGTTAGTGTGCCTGCTAGAAGAACTCACGTAAAAAATGTATATGTTAAGATGTCATCGGTATAATGGCTATTATGAATAATGTTCAGTTTTTATTACTAGGAGATATATTAGAAAACAAAGTAGCATATTTACTGCTTACTGCAAATTTATGAACTTGAATTACTCAATTTAACGCCGGTTTGTTGGATTCTATTAACAGCAAACGGTGTTTTAATTTTGCTTTCTTAGATATACTCATTATATTTTTAGTAGTCATATTGCTGCCAATGCATTCTATTGTTTATTCATATGAAAATATATTATGTTATTAAAACACAAATAACAACATTGTAAATATGTATTTATTTATTTAGACAGATGAAGAACGCTTTTGATGTACAGCTAACACAATAAAAAATGTCATGCATTTAAAAATACCACACATATATACAAGTTCAATCTACATTTTCAACTGACAAAAGAAACATGAATTATGATTGAAAACAAAAAGTTTATAAATATTTCATATATTCAAGAAAAATGAAAAAATAAATTGTTAAACTCACATACAAACTTTGTCTATAAAGGCACTTTGATTAACAATCATAAGAAGTATGTACAAAGTGACATAATGAATTCATCAACTGCTGCATTTTACCATAGATTTGTTGTGCTGTTAGTTTTGAGTAGCCAATTAAAATAAAGGCATTCGAATACAATGATAAAAAACAGTACAGTGTTCGGTCAGACTGCAGGATGGGTCCAAGGACTAAATAGTTAGGGTTGTATAATGCATAAAGTAAAAAGTAGTATTTACATTACAAATAACAACCAATACAAAAATGAATTGTGAACAGCAGTATATCAAGCATTGTATAAGTGGTGATACATATTTTTCTTTCTCAGACAGAATAAAATTCTAAAACGTTTTTTAATTATCATTTCATTCAAACATCTCTTCCCTATAAGTGGTATATGCTCGTGTTAAACCTCCGAAATACAAGACAAATGACTTTCACAAAAACTTATATAATTTAAAAGCAATTTTTTATTATGAATTTACATTTGCTTTCCATTCGTCAAACACAAACTAACAGGAAACGAAAAAAGCATGGCAACAAAAATAAATCGTTTTGAGGCAAAAGCATATAAGCAATAGAAGTCAACGGAACATACTTGTTTGCATATTAAGTGGCATATATTGGTTAAAAACGTAGATAAATTAAACTTGACCCGTGAAAAGACATAACATACATTCATACCAAATATCAACTAAAAAGTTGAAATCATTTAAAGGTAATCATGCGGAACCCAATAATTTGCTTTCAAAGGGATATAACTATATCCATTATACTTTATTGTTGCGAAAACAAACTTAACTTGTTTTGACATAACAGATCTATATATCAAATAAAAGCAAAAAAAATGAAATTCTTCAAAAGTTATCATGTGGACACCAGTATTTTTTATATAAAAAAGATGCTTTAAAGGACAAAACGCTATACAAATATTATAACAAATTTTTCCGCATGCTTCAATCAAAAATAATAAAAAAACGATCTATATCGAAACCTAAGGGTTGAGAATAAATATAACAATACACTAAAATAAACAATAATATAAATCTCAGAAACAAACCCCTCATCCGATCAGTTTAAAAATTGACGCAAATTTACTTTTGGGGTTTGTTAGATTTTTAAAAAAAGATTAATCTTATCTATAAAGTATAACATGATAATGTTAGGTCAAAATAAAAGATGAAATATAAAGTGTCTGTAACCGTTTAAATATGAACATTTGGTCGTTAATGACGATACTTGATTCATAATAACCTGCTATAATAGTAAAAATAGTGTTTTTGTTATATTATTATTAAATTCTTTAAATATCGATTCATCTCCGTTTTCTTATTAATTTATTACATACGCTTCAGCCACAGCCTACATGCAAATGATATCATTAAATCAGGTAATGACGAAACGCCGGAATCATGACAAAACGTGACGTCGTTTGCAACGGAAAATATATCTGGAAAGTATTCAAATATGGTACAATGATATTCAATCTAAATGTATAAATGGGTGAATATCAATGATAAAACATCAGCAAAAAAATAACAGCGACAAACAAACATTCGGATCATGCAAGATACAATATGACACACAAACAATAAAAGAAACAGTTGGAATAAAAGACAGTTGACAGATATATAACATATTTTTACATCGTATAATATTTATAAATCTATGCTTTATGCATAACATTAAGTTTGTGAATCAAGTATGCTTCTCTCCATTATTTGCTCATATCACACTTAACTTTATCAATAGGCATGAATAAAAAAACTGCTAAAATGATCAATACTATAAATTGAATTGCAACATTAGGAAAAATAAGAAGGCTCAATGAAAATCTTAATGTCAAATGTATGATTATTCGTACGCTTGAAAGTATTTTGTTAAGTTTAACAAACATACAATACCTAACATTTCTTACATATAAAAAGAATTATAACATGTTGTGAGGTACAATCTACTGTAACACGTAAATTATATCCTTCAACAATATTTTTTTTTTAATTTGAGCATCTACGACTTTTACATCCTTTACATGAATTGTTATTCATTTCTTAATTTTCTATGAAGTAATGATTTTTTAAAAAAGTGATAAAAAAGCTTTTACTTACTTTAATTTTACATCATATTTTATTTTAAATTTATAAATGTTACAAAATTTATGGAATATATTTGAAATATAAGATTTAGCATGACAAAATTGATCTTAATAAGCATTTTGTCTGAATATATATATGCTATTTTTTTAGTCTTTATCCATTGGGTTAAAGAAGAACTATTTGCAAAACCCGCATTTTTTACATACTATTTAGTTTCAAAAAAGTATTAATATGATGATGTCGACAAAGCTAGAACATGATGTTACTTTTCTATAACAATTAAAACATGAAAATGGAAACAGTAGAATAAAAGTGTGTATTTCATTTAATGTAAGTATCTGTTCAAAGGATTCTACCAGTGATGACCACTAGAAATTAAATTTTCTAAAGGATTTGTATCTGGTAAAATTAAGTCTATAATTCGTTTTCATTTGAAAAAATCTAAAGGCTAGGTGTTCAATAATATTTTATTTAAAACTTATGCTGAGGTTGGTAAATATTCCTTCGAACTTGAATAGTGACTTTTGGGGAGATAAAATCGAGTTACAAATAAATCAAACTATACATTGACCTCGACAAACAATGCAACTGTATAATGATAAATGATGCTACATTACAATGCGTGCTAGCTATGTAAAAAAAACAAAATCCTTTGTCACAGTGAACAAATGATTACACATTAAACACTCATTAAAACTCACAACGAAATCATTAAAATATTTCTTTAAATTGTTATTTACATTGAGCGTAAGGAGGACTTTCATTTTAATACATGAAACAGATACAGTTATCTGTTACGTTTTACAAAGGCACAATTCTGTACATGTATTCACTAAATATGAAAAGATCTTCAAAAAGTCATCATTGAAAATTAGCACATAAATATTCTTTCAATGTTAGCAAATATTGCGTTTAAATACTTATTCAATTTCTCTTTTAACGAATGCATTATTATTTCATTTGATTAAGCATTTTGTTACATTAACAAATAAATGAAATAAACAGACACTGCCGCAAACTTGCATGGCTTTAAATGCTAAAATGATTGAAGGTGGAGGCTTACAAAAGGAAATGCCTTCATATTTAAAGAAAAATAAACAGTAGAGAAATATAAGCAAGAAAACTGAACAATATCTCGCAATATACATGGATTGTCGACGCTGTCCGTAGCAAAATACAAAATCTCAGAAAAATTACTGTTCGAAACTATCATACATATATTTCATACCTAACATTTTAAGAGAATAAAATGTACAGTAAACATCACTTATAGCAAGTACTGTTTGAGCAAATTTCTGGTTATAAGAAACTACGTTTTACAAACAAAAGGGAACTTCATGTACATAGTTTTCATATACAAATACTCGGTTATGCAATTTGTCACTGATATTTTCAAATTTTAATCACCGCTATAGCAACGGCAAGTAATTTTAAGAGTTGTTAATATCTAAGAGAATCACAATGGCCCTGAAATAGCTCAAACGAATATAAAACTCTCCATAATTAGGAACAAGAAAAATTGTATTCTATTAACAAAGCAGATATAAAATCTAAATCTAAAACTGATGTCACAAATTACATAGTTTTAACTGAAAAAGAGCATGTGTAAAAGCATTACTGGTTGCTCTTTCTAAGGGAAAACAACAGTTCCAAAAGATGTGTACATATAAGAAAAATCAATGAACACCTGGGGCGGGGCCAATTTTGACTCCAGGGCTTTTGAATAAATAGTCATCCAAAAGAAGATTTTTCATGCTTAAAATCCAACCTCTAGCATTTTGGCTTTTTAAGAGAAGATTTTATTTTTTACTACACAATATATATACAAACATGTATAAGGAGAATCTATAACTCTCTTTGTAGTGATTAATTTTGACCCCAGGGCATTTATTTGAGCAAACATGGTATACACACATAATAATATTATACATGCTTCATATCTAATTAGCTCTATGGGATTTTTAATAGAAGATTCTTGTCAAGTTTTTACTATGTACATAAAAGGAAAATTAATGCCCCCCCCCCCCTCCTCCCGGCGGGACAATTTTGACCCCAGTGCCTTCATTTTCACATTCTTGGTAGACACCTAAAATAAGATGTTTCATGCAAATTTTTATCCCAGCGCTTTTATTAGAACAAACTTGGAAGACACCAATTAGAAGATGTTCCATGCTTAATATCCAAGCTCTTTCTCTTTGAGATTTTTAAAAAGAAGATTTTTTTAGATATAGACATATTTGAAAAAATCAATTACACGCAGGGACGGGGCCAATTTCATACCAAGGGCTTTGATTTGAAAAAACATGGAAGATACTTACTAGAAGATGTATCATGCTAAATATCTAAGCTCTAGTTCTTCAGATTATTTTTAGTTTTTACTTTACATATATTATGAAAATCAATTACCGTCCCCCTCCCGCTCCCAGGGAGCGGGGTCAATTTTGACCTAAGGGCTACAATTTTAACAAACTCTGTGAACACTCACTAGAAGATGGTCTAAGCTATAGCTTTTTGGATTTTTAAAAGAAGATATTTGAAGTTGTTTGTTGTTGTTGTTTTTTGTTGCCATGGCAACCAGAGGTCTTTATCGAATACAATTTTTGGAACAACATTGGTAAAAATTTATGCAAGGACCATTTATGCAAAGTTTCAACAGATTTGTCAAAGTGGTTTAGGAGAAGAAGTTGTTTAAAAAGTTGTTGAAGCACGGACTGACGGACGATGGACGACGGACAATGGGTGGGCCTCAGGTGATCTTAAAAGCAATGTTAATGTATTAAAAAATACCAGTAAAATATATCCGAAATTGAACCCTGATATTTATCTATGTACATCATGTTATATATGTATAAGTACTTTTTAAGTATAACTATTCATTTTAATTGGCGTTGTTTATGAATACATTTTCTACATCATGCTGGTCATTTAAAGTAACAGTCGAATCATTTAATACGTACTTTTTCTATGTAAGAAAAGTTAATGAAAATGAGATAATAATGACCAAATGAGTTATACAAATATATCTTAATCAGAAAAGGGAGATGATTGTAGACATTAAGTTCGTTATAAAGACTTGGTTCCCTATGAAAACTTCTGCTATATGGAACTTATCTGTTATATGCTAAGACGAATTTTTTGATATAATGACCAAATTTTGAATATGAGTTGGCTATAAGCATAGTTTATAGTAATAAAATTAATAATTGGCAGGTGCAAACGAAATTTTTGCAAATGTTACCATGCCTGAATTCGTCATATTTGTGCTTCATGAATTGCATGTATTTTCGTGATAAAACTTATAGGTATATTTAATAATTGGTTTTATTCCTTGGTATTGAGAAACTTACAATTTTGATTAAATATCGTAAAACAAGAATGAGTCTGCTTTTTTCACTTTGCTAGATATCATCTTTGAATATTTTTCAAAGGGGAGGTAAAATACTGATGTATTTTGAAAACATTTCGGGGATATAAACAAAATAATAAGTGTGATAAGGACATAAACAACAAGTGTCCGTAAATATTCATATTGTACACATATAGTTTCTATCAATATTCTCGGTATCAATTTGAATGTGTTGAAATCATTCTCAGTGTTAAATTTACACAAGTACAATTATTTTGTTCAATTATACCTAGAATTATATAAATTATATACATCAATGCTTGTTTATTGTTTGTTTAATTGAGGTTAACGTCACACCTACACTTTATAGGTCATATGGCGACGTTCCAGCTTTTCTTGTGGATGAAGATATCAGGTGCCGTTCCGTGCTTTATTTTAGGTACGCGAACGGGTACCTGAGTATAACCACTAACGTTCCGTAAGCTAGCTGGATAGCTTCCTCACATGAGACTATTCAAATTCCCAGTCGGGATTCGAACCCACAGCGGTAAGGGGCAAGTGGTTTGAAGTCAACGACCTTAACCACTCGGCCAAGGACGCCCCTTTAATCAATGCTTGTTTTAGTTTACTTGTTTGTTTTATATGTGAATGTGAAACCAACGGACAAATACAAAATAATATTTGAATTACATTGGTTGTTGCAGTTGATGAATTCCACACAGTATTTGCACCAAATATGAAACGTTATAACTTTGATTCTAATTTATTGAAAAAGAAAGTAGCACATGGTTTTATCAGTTTTGTTGCATATTCAATATGCTACGCAGCAGTCTTGTTGAATCATAACGTCGAAACTTGAATGTTGTACTTATTTTTCTTGAATCATATAGTGCAGATGACTCCTAAACGGAAATAAAGGACAATAGATAATTTACTTTGACAATTTCAGACAGTATAGAAAACATAAGAAATGTCGTTTAAGTAAAAGCTCAAAAACTTATTAAACTCAAGAACATTATTTTTTCTATTCACAAAATAACAATTAAACCAATTTCTGAGCTGATGTATCACTCAGATTTAGATATGACTGGAAGGTAGATATTGAAATTCTAAAAACAAAAAAGTTTACATACATTCAAAGACGTGTGATTATTTCTCTTTTGTTGATGCTATTTGCTCAACAATATTCATCACTTCATCCCATTCAACGGTAAGTGACTTTGTTGATTTCATAGCTTGTAAAAGAGTATTGACGGTGGCATTTTCTTGCTGCTTAGCTTTCCATTTCAACAGCATTTTGAAGATCCTCATTCTGCTAGTGTTATTGTCCATTGATATGTGATCGATTTCGCCCATGTTCAAATCAAGTTCACTTCCAAGGAGTTCCCAGTTGTAACCAATTGATTGTGCTATTTTGCTCAATTGTTTCTCATTTAACTGACAGTCTTCTGTTAGTCCTATCGTAGAGATTTCTTCGAACCATTCGGAAAGTGCCTGCTGAGTGTGTATTACGTGATTGACTGGCATATCAAGGCAGGGTTCAATGCTTTTACCTTTAAGGTTTTCCAATTGAAAGATTTCCTGACTTCCATTTAGACCATGACTTTCATTGTTGCACCTAAAACATGTCTGGAAAGGCTTATCTTGGAATGTGGATGACTCTCGTAGTTTATTGAATTCACTGATGACCACTGACTCTGCAAAGCGTCTGAACTTGTCTGCTGTATTGTTCACATTTTGAGATGTGCAAAGGTTAATTACACGCATCTCAATTCTGTTCTGCTGTAGTTCAACAACTCCAGCATTTTGGCTGTCCAATCTAAAGACTCCTAAATTTTCGTACAGCAATAACTCCTTTCTTTGTTTTGATACGCCTATTTGGACAACTGACCACTTTGCTACCATAGCAGCAATGAGACAACAGTATACAATTTGTACAACAGGGGAGTATTGAAATGCCATCAGAAACCTTAAGGTTGTCTGTTTCTTTCCTGAAAGGAACTCTTTAAGTGTCTTGTTGTCACTGTGGTTTCTTAGAAAAATAGGGACAATATACCAACCGAGAGGATTATATTTCCAAGTTATCTCATCGAAACTTGAAACTTCAGATATGATGTAATGCCTTTGCATAAACATCAAAATTTCATTCTTAAATTTGGATAACTCACTATTGGAATCGAAACATTTCTCAATTAGCTCCATTGTCAGCTTTGCTTCTTTTTGCAAAAGCTTCCAAAGACTGCGATATTGTGGTTCCTTTCTGCAAAATCTCTCTGATGTCACAATACACCTGAACGCATCAATGAGGAATTGTGTATCAAGTACAACGTATCGTGATATCGGTTCTTCGTCAAAGAAAAACAATGTGCCTTTCCTGTGGTGATACAGTAGGAACAACTTGATTTCTTCTTCTTCCTTTAGCGGGAAATCATTTTGTGAATCGATTTCCACCACTTTGCTGAATGGAATTATCTTCTTGTATCTTATCTGTACTAATTCTTTTTCAAGGGCAATCCATCTTGCAGGAACTTTGAGTTTAGAATGTTTTCTAATATGTATTATTGCCTTTCGCAATTCTTCAATTTCCTTGTCGTCGGGATCAGTGCTATTGACTACAAAATCTTTTTTATGAATATGATTGATAACAGGTGTGTTTTCAAACAATGTTCTTATTTTTTCAAAATATTCTTCTGCATATTGATTTTTTTCATTTTCCGTTCCTAATAATTTATCTTTATGCGTTCCGACAAGAATAACCGGCGGATTTGAACCGTCGTTTGACCCGACATATGAATGAATGGAGTTCATCCAAAACTTAATGAAATGTTCCATTGTTTTGTCACCTGTTTCCATAGGATATTCAGTATCTAATACGACCATCGACAATGGTTTTGATAAGTCAAAAACCAATAAATACACAGCACGATTGCTGTGGAATATGGTGTGAGTAGCATAGAAGACAAACTGGCCACCAAAATCCCATATTTCAAAATTTCCATCTACACCACGCGCAAATTGTTTAGATGTCAGGAGAGTCGAAAATTTCTGTACTTCTTTCGGTGTCAAAGATGATTTTGTATTTTTTCTAGTATTATCAGTGCTTTCCGCTTGTGTTTTTCTATACAAAATTCGTGATGCACTGTCAATAACTTCTTTATTTTCAGACTGTGATGCGCGTTCTTGAAGTTCTAAAGAATTCTCTGTTGGCTCCTCATTCTTAGCGACTTCAGCAATGCGATCGATAATGTCCATATCATGTGGCGTAGTTGTTTGGAATAACGTCACATCACCATTTACTTCAAAATATTTGCAGTGATTGATTTCTACTCCATTTGTGCTTTGAACAGTTGGACACGTCTTTCCAACAAGTGATTGTGTTAAGGAGGTTTTCCCTTGTGCAAAGTTTCCAACTACGTTCACCCTTACAGTGTTATCTGTTTCAAAACCTCTGGAGAGTGCTCTTTGATAAAGCTGAATGTGTAAAGGGTTATTTCCAATATCACGCTCCTCATCTATTTGGAAAAGTAAGACTTGAAACATTTTTATACTGTAATTTTGAAACTATTTTAACAGAAAATTTAAATAGCATATCATTATCCTTATTGTACTTGAATCAAGTATTCATATCGTAACAAGTAAGACTTTAAACATTTTACTATTGTAATTTTAACACAGTTTTACAGAATGTATATTAATCGAAACCAGTGAGACTTTAAGCATTTGCCTACATGTCTAATTTTAAAACTCTCTATACAATATATATTTTACCATTATCAAAATTGTATTTAAATCAATTATATAAAACTAATCAAGAACCATCGCTGGACGGGGCAACGCTCGACATATTTTACTTTTCCTTAAAGCAAACAAATAAAAAAAAATCAAAGAAAAAAAACGATAAAGTGTTTTTTTTAATTGTTTAAAGAATAATAATAATAATAATAATAATAATAATAATAATAATAATTATAATAATAATAATAATAATAATAAAGTAATGTTCAATGTTCAAATTTACACCTAAAATACTGCAGATGATCTAAATTTCTCAGGTATAGATTCAAGGACAAGAAAGTAGGTCACTTCATCAACATCTAGGTCATGTAACAAATATCAATTATGCATTAAGAAAACTGTGCATTTGATCCATTTTTATAGATGTTAATCAACGGACAAGACAGTAGGTCACTTCGTCGATATTTAGCTCGGCTGATATCAAAATTAAATTTAACATTTAAAACTGATCACGTGGTCTAAATTTCAAAGCTGTACATCAAATGATTAGAAAGACAGTAGGTCATTTCGTCAAATTATTTATGTCAGCTGATATCAAAGTTCAAAAGTATGCCACTTTGTGGAAATCTAGGTCAGCTGATAATAAAGTTTAATTTTACATTTAAATCTGTGCACACGGTCCAAATTTAATTATTACAAGAAAAAAAGAAGAACTTTATTAATTTGACCTTGACGGTCAAAGTCGATTAAAGGTCAAAGTCACATATAAGTTATCCAATATAATTGTTTGGTAGAAAGTATTGTTTTGTCCGAGTAAAATTCAAATCCGTACTTAAATTAGAAAAAAATTCAATTATTTTATATTGGAAGTCAAGGTCAGTTAAAGTCACATGACTGTAACAATAACAGTATTTATTCTTCGAAAACAGTCGAGCTAATTAAAATGATTAGATCAGGAGACTAGGAAATGTTCCTCTTCTATTCATATTTATCATACAAACCCAAAGTCCCAGGGGAAAGCAACATCAAGGCCTTTAATTTTGTCAGATATTGATGTTCAATTTTAAAGTCTTATGAAATTAAAGGTGCATTTATTGTGATCGAGAATTGTAGTATTTCAACACACAGGAAAATAGTTGTTTATGTAACATGCAAAGAAAACACCAATAAAACACAAGATCTTATAGTTTAGATATGGACCTCTATTCGTCGGTTTTGTTGAATAAAAAGAGTCTAACGAATCGATTTAACGGGGAAGGTATGATTTATCTACTCATTGTAAATGAAGTTTGAAGAAGATAGCAAACTTGTTATGAAGAAAAAAAAACACCTATTAATTTTGTTCACCCGTTTATGTACAAAGTTTTCGTCAAGCTTAATATATGTCATATGCTTTAGCTTCAGTTTTCAGCGTGACAAATTAACAACTTATCTTATTAAAGCTGAATCATTTCTTACATGATTTTTTTACTTTTATTAATTGACAACAGAAACAATATTCTGATTTCAGAAATTAAAAAAAAAAAGATTTAGATGACTCGCTTAGGGGTAAATCTTATTTAAAATTATCATCAATAAATATGTCTCCAAAATGAAAAACACTCATAATTGAGTTACATTATAAAAAGCTTACCAAAAAAATAAAGTCAATAACAAAACTTAAATGGTTAAGCTTAAACTATAATTTATCAGCAATAAAGATACTACATGCTATGTAGTGCCTTAGGAGTAAAGAATATTTATGATTATAATAAATGCATAATGTAAGTACAGGCGAATAGCGTGTAATACGTTGGAGAATTAAGTCATTAAAAATGGCTTCGAACAAGGTAATGAAACACATAATGTGAACATCTTAGTAATAACCATTGGCATTATTGGATAATGCCGGACACATATTAATTGTTAACGTCGTTAGGACCATTGCCGTGCCCAATAGGAAATACGGCGTTTAGACTGTCACTATCAATAACTGTTTTTATAAACGGAAATTATTTAATATTTGAACAAATGAAAATAAATACGATAACATGAGCATATGATGCACAATAAGAATAACTGTGATATTAATATCTCTTTTATTGGTGAGTGTACTGGGAAATATTGTTATGATTTTAAATTATGCCATAATTGTTTTAATTCATTATTTTGTTACAGTTAAAAAATCAAAGGTACGCGTTACCGAAGTGAACTTCTATATATAACCTTTGTAAGATTTTGGCAACGTTAACTTAATGACAAAAGTGGGCAGTATTTCCATATTTTTAGCAGCTTTTTATATGTTATGCTAATTATTTGTTACTATCATTTTATGGTCATTCCCAATCGTAATATTTAATCTTAAAGTTAATTCAAATCACACAGACAACGAAAAATGACAAAAATGTCACTTAAAGTAGATAGATCTTAACAAGTGCATCTGGGTTGCTTAAACTTGTCCCGGGATAATTAATGCTTCACACAAACGGTGTGATGTTGTTTCCCTGATTGAACAAATCAAACAGCTTGCAAATTTGTCATTTTTTAATTACATATTTAATGTAAATCTAAAAATCATCTTGTAAATTGTTCAGCATAATAGTTTTGACAATGCGCTGACGTAAAAACAAATGTCGAAAGACTTTAATCGTGCTTAAATAATATCGGAATACAGACATTTTGTGAAACTGTAAATAGTTGCATATGTTTAAATTCATAATAATGATGCTATCACATGTACCCATTGCAATATAGACTGAAACTCGAATGAGTCAAAATATTATAGAATATACTACAAACACGGATTAACCGTCAAAAAGGTAATAAGATACTTACCACTGTCCGAGTGAGCATAAAATACCTGAAGTCAAAACATTTTACATTTTATTCAAAAGATACATGAAAGTCAGGCTTAGCCCGAAATATTCTATTTCAAACAAAAATGTTCATGCAAACATCTTAAAGTAAAGGCATTGATTCATATAGCAAATATTGCCACTAATTGAACAAACATGTGTTGGACCGGTTCATTCTAACATATAGTAGAAACAGGAGGTTTATCTGTTACTTTAAAACCTAAATTCAAGGATTCTTTCAAGACATGTCAAGTGTGTATGTTTCCATTGTAAACTGTTACTCTTTTTTCAGTCGTTTTGAATTATTAAATGGAAACGATTTGAGATACCGTTTTAGATTGCTTTCTAGCATTTTCTTTAATCCAAATTCCAGCTGACTATTCACCTGTATACCATGTTGACTATAACTAAAACTAACGAGTTTATAAAAGTAAGTTACACATCGAGTATCTAGATTTGTTGCTTTTTTTGATAAGTCAGAATTTAGGGTTTGGATTATCTTCACATTTAACATCAGAATTTATGACGTTGACTGCAAAATGAGCCAATTATTGCGCTTAATGTAGCATTTTATCATAGCGTTCAAATGTTATTTGTACAAAAGAAACACACCTTTTACAATTGATAAAACTATCACAGACAGACAGACAGACAAACAGATACCTTTACTGCTGATCAGGTTACATGTGTCACATATAACAACATGATGTGAAAATACAAACATACGTATTTTACAAAACTGGTAGTAAACAGGGTATTTGATAAATATGTGGATTGAATTAAGATTATTATAAGTTAAATAACCTCATATATAGTTATAACAAACGTTTTCCTTACATAAGGGGGAGACTATCAGAAAAATGCTAGACTATTCGACAGGGTGCAAAATTTAGAAATTTCAGGATCTAAATTTAGAAACAGTGTTTACTATATTTGTAGTAAATTAACGGTATGGCAGTTTTTATGAATGGGATAAACTCCACGGGAAGCATGATTATTAGCGGCACCATATTTACTACTAAAGTGAACAAGGGCAGTGTTACAAAGCTACATGTATTTATATTTATTGAATCGGAATTATATCTTTCACTGGTGAGTTTTTTGTTTTATTTTATTTGTTCTATCAGTTACAAACAACTGAGTATTTGTTACTTTTAATATGTATGATATTAACCTACAAAGACCTTTTAGTGCGACTTCATTATTTGAGTTCAGTAATTGATGATATTTGGTCTGGAATAGAAATTATATGAATCTATATTATTTTCCCTAGATTGTTTAAAACGCTTGCATACGAGGAGAGTATGGAATTCGTCACCTAAATCAGAAAAACAATTTAGACATTGCCTATCATTATAATTCACATTGACATGGCTATTCCTCCAACGGCCAGTTTCGATGGGAAGTTTTTGATTTGCTGTTCTAAATTTCAATAGTTTCAGCCCTTGGTATATTCGTAAAATATTTATATATTTTTCGAATGTTAATTCCGTTTTGAAAATAACATAATTTTTGCCCTTTGATGAGTTCTGCAGTTCTGTGGACCACTTTTTAAAACATTGATTTAATAATGTTTCTTTAATAACTTTTGCTATGCTATTGATAGTAATAGATCTCTGCTGCAGCCACCAACACCATATCCAAGATTATTTTATCTGGTATATGTCGCTTAATTTCTATGTTTCGTATTGCTCTTTTTAAAACCGTAAACATATAGTATAAACATGCTCTTTTTCAAAATGGATACTTATTAACGCAGTGTGGAAAACTCGTTAAATGTCACATATAGAAATTGTAAATGTTCAGTGTTATCTCATGATTTAAATAAAAAGTACACGTATCAAAGACAGTTTTTGAAAAAATGAATGGTAAATTAAATATAAAGTTTCCATATATTTTTGTATATTTAGAAAGGGGAAACATTTTGAATAAACAATGATCGAAATATTGATCAATACTTAAACAAAATTATGTTTCTTACATTTTCTGTCATTTGTGACCACTGTTTTG